TATTTTTTGGAGATGCGGGAAACTGCACTGAAGCCCGATCAGTTCAGCTACGGTGCAGCACTTGCTGTTTGTGATCAAGCAGAAAACTGGCAGCTGGCGCTTGTGCTGCTGGCATGGATGCAGGGGGACGCGGTTCACAGCAACACGTGTATTTGCAACTCAGCACTGGGTGCCTGTGACACTCTGCTGCTCAGAAACGGCTGTTCATAGGATTCTCAACTGTTTCTTTTCTTCTGATGAAAAGACAAGCATCTATGTTGGCCGCAATCTGATCTCCAGCGCAGCATAGCTAAGCTTCATTCCTAGGCGAAGGCGGGCAAGTGGCAACTGTCCCTGCAGCTTCTGTCAGACTTGATGTACATGGGGGCACAAGTGTGCCCGGACCAAGTGTCCTTCAACTGCGTTTTGAGGGCGTGCAGCTCTCGACACATGTGGGAAGCTTCGCTTTTGGTCGCGGCGAAGATGCAAGAGCTCGTGGAGCCAGATCCGAAATCCTTCAACGCTGTGTGTGAAGCGGCAGAGATGGCATTGCAGGCCGGATTGGATTAAACGGTATCTCCCAGTCGGAGTCAGCACGATAGCCGATAGCCTGTTGTGGGATGACACAATCATCACGGGCGCAATTGCGACTTCCTGGTAGCAGATCCTTGCAGCTCAGGTGAGGTGCGTGCCGGAGTTTCTCGCGGCATGCAGCACAGAGGCCGTTCAGATACTGATGTGAGCTGCAGGGCGCGGCCACAGCCCCATGACGGCCGCAGCGGGTGGTGAGCGGCGAGGACGTGTTGTGGGTGCCGGCGGCAATTGGTGCTAACACGGTCCAGTGCTGCCGGCTGTCTCATTCGCACAGTAACGACTTCCGGCAGGAAAGACTCGTCGATTAGCCAGCACGGCTAGTTGGTCAGTTGGGTCTCGGAGGCGTCCAGTGGCTTCGAAGTCTAATGCTGGAGAGACCCAAAACTGTTTGCCCGCACAAACATAGCCGCGATGCTTTGGCAAGTAAATGACATGGGACATCCCTGCTTGACGCCTTGTAACTCGCTGGGGCATGTCACTGAATTTCCAGCAATTCTGCGAGCCACGAGAGCAAATGATACCAAATGTCGGCGCACAAGACACAGCACTAGACTGAAAACTGCGTCTCTTGAGTCTGGCAAAAGATCGTAGCCCCAAGTCAGCAGACAGGCATGGCCGAACATGGGATTGTCTGTTGTATGCAAGGGCATGCCCATGGCAACCTGATGGTCATGGCGAAAGCCGTGAATGAGGTGGGACTGCAGCAAAGGTGAGCATGCATGATGACATGTTTTCCATTGCAGCTGGACTGGCAAACTCCCCTCCCCTCCCCCGCTCTCCTTCCTTCGATCAAGCAGCCAGCGATCGAGTGAGAACTGGGCTGTAAAGTTGTAGCATGACCGCCATGATCAGCGTCGCGAGTTTTGCCCTCGCATAACCACTCCAGGATGCCCTAGCCAAGCTGCAAGCTCAGCACTGCAGCGCTGTGGCACTCGGCATCCAATTGTCCTCTGGACAGTGCAGCGTGTGATCCAGTTCTGGAGGTCCACACCACTACCCTTGCGATCCCGAGCGGAGGATGCCGTGGATCGCCCAGCACAGGCATGCAATCAGAAACCTGCAGTACAAAGCGTGCTGCAAGATGATGCAAGATGTTGCTTCTCGGTTTTGGATGGCAAGATACGTCCGCGGAGCCCGCGGACCCCTGGCACGTGCTGAGCTAAGCCAGTATACTGTACACGATCGCACCCCTTGCCGCTTCGTCGAAGACCCATCGGGCACAGTGCTCCTGGTGTGCTGGTGGTGTTTTGTGTGTAGGTTTCGGGTCGCGGCTGTTGGGTCCAAGAACTGCATGACTCATCAAGAGCTGGCAGCGAGACGGAGCGAGGCCTCGCCCCAGTGAATCGGGACGTGCCAGCGACAGGACTCGGAGCCAGAGAGGGTTTGGCGGGAAAGAACAAAAAAAGGGGGCGCAGAATCCGCCACTGCAGGACCAGTCCGCGGCCGAGTCGGGAGGCCACAGAACTTGCGCTGCGACACTGAGCGACGTTGCTGTGGCTTCTTCTTTGCGTAGGTCCGGAAGGGACAGGACTCCGAGCTCTCCCAGTGTATCGATGCTTTGTACAGGCGCATCCCGAGAAATTAGACTAATTTATGTAATTTCCAGTTGGCAACATCGCCATGTGTCTGCAGGCACCGCAAGGAGACACTACGCTTTTTGAGGCGGTCAGCCCCCCAGTGCCTCAAAGCTTGAGATGGCTTCGACGCAAGTGCTGAAGCCAGCAAGATCCATCAGTTGTCGAAGTTGCATGTCATCGCCATGAAAAGGCAACTCAGACCCCCGGGTTGACACATGTTGATGCCTGGCCGAGGTGCGAAGACTCCCGTGATCTAAAGTTGCTGCGTGCAGCACTGGACCCACAGCCGTCGGGAGCTCGCAAGGCATGTGCCCGCAAGCGGCGCAGTTCAGAGAGACACCAGCTCATCCAGCTCCGAGGCTTCGCCAGGAGGGCACTTCCCGGAGCCGCGCTCCGGCACTCTGTGGGGCATCAAAGCGGGAATTTCTCGGATACCGATTTGTTCTCCGACTTAAACCCAGAAGTAGGCAGAAGTTAGTGTGTGGCGCAGGTACGTGCGGTTCATGCGACACAGAAGCTGGTGCGGGAGTGTGAGGCGCAATCTCGGACCTGACTTGTCGGCTTTCGACAGCTGTCTGCACACATGAGACGCGACACGATAAGCACCTGAAGCAGCTTAGCATGCGGAGCCAGAATCAGCCAGAAACACTCGTTGTGGACACCTTCGCCGATGTTTGATTTGGGCATGTTTGGGTTGTCGAGAGTTGCTGGAGGCTTAGAAGTACTGTAGAGTATAACATTCTTTGCAGCGCAGACTTCCTCCTGTCTGCTGCGGCAGGCAACTCCGCTTTCAGCACCGGACTATGTTTGGTCACCCGAAACTTTGGGTTCCGTGGCTGCCAGAGGCGACTGTCAATTATGCTTCTGCTGTCGAAGGAAAAGCTGGCCGTTGGTTTGCTTGTGCAGTGGCAGGTTGGCAGTGTTTGGCTGCTCCTGTGAACGCCTCAGCGAGTACAGTACAGTTTTGTCCTGGCCACACATTCTGAAAAACGCGGATTTGATCAGCCACAATGTTTGGCAAGGCAGGCCGACGCGAGCAGCATTACGACAGAACAAGCACTCCGAATATTCAGAATGATGGTTCCATGTCGACAACCCTCGCCCTGCCCCTACCTGTAGCTGAGTTACACCGTGCCCCATGGTGCCCCTGGATTCCCGTGCAGTTCAGGCTTGACTCCTTCCCCCCTTGCCCTTGCTTTCGACAACTCCGGTTCTCCTTAAGCCACGGTCGCAGTCAATGGCGTCAAAATTAGGGACTCGTCGAAGACGGTTCGGAAGCACGACTGGAGCTGATCCTGCTGATGATTTCTTACATTGTCGCGACTTCGATCTGCAGATCTCTGACCATAGTCGCGACAGCATCGGTGTCCTTCGTTTCTGGCGGCTTGTTACCATATCTGTGACTGCATTTGCTGCCGGTTTGTTTGCTAGCTGCCGTCACCTCGGGTCCCTTGGTTTCCGCATGCTGCATTTCCGACTCTGTAAACTATGCATTTCCCCAATGCTGTAAACTATTGTTCTCAAAGGTTCGATGCTTGAAGCATTTGAACACAGGCCCAGAAGTGGGGTATTTGGCAAAAAGGCGCACAAACCCAGTGCCCTCAATCATCGATCGAAAGCATCGGGTGTCACTTGAGACCCATCTGAATGCAGTTGTGAAAACGGGTGATGACAAGAAGCATCTTGCTGCTGCTACATGCTCTTGAACTTTTGACCTCAGGACGCGGCACACTCACCATGGCTGGCGACGCTCGCCCGCACTGCCTGCTGCCTCAGATAATCGATTTTTGACAGTAAAGGTGGAAACCGCACGCCGTCCAATTGGTTTCGGCATGATGCTGGCATGTCAGCCGCCAGCAGAGTTGCAGTCGCAGGCCTAGGTGCAGCGCACGGGTGGAGTTTTAGTTCACATCTTGCAAGGAGGCGTGCTAGCAGGATTGTTCATCCGACACCGCTTGCAGCACGTCAGACTGGGGTCCGAGTTGCGCAAGACAGCACATTGAAATGCACTCGGTGATCAGGCCATGCTTCCGCCTGATACATCCTTGACGCCCAGGAGACGGCATTCCTCTGACCATGGGGAGGGGGCGCGGTAAAAGTGGCGGGAGCACAGCTGAAAGCTAGGCAAAGACCGAAGCGTTAGCAGGAGAGAGCTTCCGCCTTAAGCAAGCTGCCATCTGCGAGGATGTGGCTCACACATGTCATGTTGTGACGGCAAGGGGCGGGCTAAGTCATCCCTTTTTGGAGGAGAACCGTGCGAAAGCTTGCATGAGCTGGCTGGGTGGAAGAAGCTCAAATGCAGTGTCACTCCAAGCGAGTCGTTCTATCCACGTGTGCGGCTTTCAATGTATCTTGTAAAGTGAAAACGGCTAGCCATGACATACTGTTGCTGCATGTATTTATGCCTCATGAGCGTCGTAGTGTGGCTGCCATGTTGCCAATGTTCGCAAAATGGCTTGCAAGGCGAGGTTGTAACGACATATGCACCGAAGGCACAGCCATCTCAGGTGCGGCTAATATGTCCTGCTGTGCCCGACAGAATTGGAACAAAATCCGTGGCGCATGACTGTTACCTTCAACCTCGTTCTGCCTGTGTTGCTGAGCACTTCTGTGTAATCTCCACTGTGCAGGGGGCTGGCCCGAAGGTTGTATGGCAGCGTCATGCTGAGCCCAGGCTGAGACCTCTTCAATGCGCGGGTTTTCCAGGAGGGCTAGGCTGTTGCAAGATCTTGCAAACGGTCAGGAGGTTTTCGGAGCCTGCAACATGAAAGCCAACATCCAGATCCCGCTGCATGCATGTACGCACTTGCATAGTAAGCACACATGTAGCGAATTTGAGTTTGGCCAGCCATGACGACGAGTGTTACGCTGGCAGCGCCCACCAGCAGCAATCGCGGTAGACTCTCTGCCATAGGCCCGATGCGCTGCAGTGCCAAGTTCTCGGTAGCTGCGTGCAGTGCTGTCAAGCTTGTCTACCAGGTAGTTCTGCCTGCTTTTTGGAACGGGAGCCGGGTCTTGCAGGTCAGTAACACTGTATCATATCGTTTTCCATAAGATGTACGAGTATGGACGCAGCTGAAGTCGCCAGAAGCCGCAGAGACAGAGGCCAAAGTGGTGTCTGTCGGTTTTCTATTCAGAGGTGTCTCGAAATGTTCGACATGCACCTGCAGCAGCAACCTGGTGAGACGTCAGCATCCGTCGGCGGAATGATGGGTAGCAGTTGGCTGCTGCGCAGTGAACCCGTAGAGGTTGGAACTCCTTGTGGGCGTCGGTGCGATAACAACAGAAGTGTGGCATCGACACCGCGGATGGAGATCAGGATTGGAGACATGTTGTAGCTATGGCAAGTCTGAAAAACTGAGGGTGACCGCCAGAGGCGATGTAATTGAGAATCATTGTTCACCTATGCATCCTTTTGTATGTGTCGCTGTTTGACATAGAAGACACCATGCCCGGCGACCAGTATCAGTCGATGCGGCACGATCTTACTCCGACGTTTCGTTTCCCCTTCACCGAGACTCCTGGTTTCTGTCTCACAGCACAGGGTCCCAGGAAGAGCGGCATGTGGGTTGTCGTTCGACTGGCCGATCTGTCTGTGGGCCTCAGCAGTTAGATAAACACATGCAGTCTGTTTGTTCGCAACTCCTCTACCAGGTAGTGGGTCACGACGATGCAAATTGTGCCTCACTGTCCACCGTATTGAGTTCTTTCTTTTAGTCTCTGAGTTGGTCTGTCTGTTCGGTCTGCGTGAATGTCTCTCTTCGTCTTTGGGGTGTCTTGCGTTCGTGCCTTTCACTTCTGCGTGTGCGTGCTTGCGTGCCTGCGTGCATGCTGAGATTCCCTTGGTTCTTCAGGTAGCCTTTGCTGCTGTAAGTTCGTGACTCGATGCAGACAGGGACAGGGTTATCGCAGCAGGTGCAGCCCTTGATGGGGCTGTGGATGCCCTGACCATGACCCCCGGTTCTCATCATGGCAGGTTGGCCGGCGGCATTTTTTCGATTGGGGTGGGTGCACAAAGTGTGGAGCTGTGTTGTGCGTGTAATGATAGTGTAATGAGTCGAGAGTCGGGTGTTCAATACATCTTTCCCAGCAGGGCAACTTCTAGTCCAGAAGTCTGGCGGCTAGCCCAGAGCATTCTCGGAAGCCTTGTGACCGGCTGACTGCCTCAGCTTGAGCATTGCAGGCCTGCGACATTTCCAGACTTTGCTGTACCAGGTGCATGGCCGTTAAGCCTCGAGATGTTCGGTGCAGCTCCAGTCTCTAAGCTTGGATCAGCGTGCAACAGTTGTGGGTAAGAAAGAAGCATCCGGCTGACAAGACATTGGGAGCCTTTGGAACTGACAATGATAAAGCGCGACTACTATACTACTACTGTTACTACTACTACTACTACTACTACTACTACTGCCACTGCCACTGCCACTGCCACTGCCCCTGCCACTGCCACAGCTCCTGCTGCTGCTGCTGCACCGAAAAGGGAGGGCCGCACGCATCGAAGCCCTCGTACCACTAGCCTTCACGCCCCTCTAAACTTCGTTGTATTGCCAACAGCACAGCTCTCCGAGCTCCTCGCATTTGACAGAAGTCCCGGCCAACTCAATGCCCACTCTAATTGCTTATCATTTGTTGGCCATGTGGACATGTGCAGCAGACGGTGTAGAGAGCGCTGATTTGGTCTCTGACGGAGGCGGACAAGGTGCCACAGAGCTAGCTGAGCTTCGGGCGAGAGCGGAGGCAGCTCGAGCCACTGCGAGCGGAGGCTGGGCGCCTCTTGTTATTCACATCCCGCTGATGTGCACGGGCCATCACCGAATATTTCCGAGGCTGTACAAAGAGCATGTGCATTCAAGACTTGCGTTTGCTATATCGTCGAGAGACTGAATGCCATTGCTTGGAGGCCCAAGGAGGCCTTCATTGATTTATGAGTTGATACTGCCCTTTCGATCCTCGAATGTGCTGCAGTTGTTGAGTTGCCGTTGCATTGTTCCTGGCTTGTTCAGCTGCTGGTTGCCCCGCGGCACCCAGCTGCAACTTCCTCCCCGCAGTGTTGCCTGGGATGCTTGCGATTTTTCTGGCCTGAGGCATGTCTGCATACCGTCGGCGGATCAGCAGTCAACAGAGCCTTCTTGGAAGCCTCGACGGAGTTGCTGACAACCAGGCCATGTGTGTATTGTTTTCTTTTGGTTTCTTTTCACGAGGATCATCTCAGAGTAGCCCCCACAGATGTTGAACCCCAGAAGTCCTCTTCGCAGTGAATTGACTGCGACGTGCTCAAGGGGGCGGCAGGGCCGATTTCGAGGATTTCGCATGTTGAACGCTTGGTCAACCTCCCTTATTGGTGATCCAGAAGCAGAGGTGGCAGGGCGAAAAGACTTGCCTCATGCTGAACAAATCCTGGCACTAAATGAAGCCTGCATTGTTCGCATAATTTAGCATAATCAGCAGTGTTGGCTGACGGGGGGGGGGTGGGCACCACGTAGCTGTCGACCTGATTCGCTGCTGAGATTGCTGCCGAGTTGCTGCATTGTGTTGTTGCTCTTGCTCATCGGCATTGATCGACTGTCACCGTTCAGCCATCGAGTCTTGCATGCGTTGCCATACCCCTTTGCGAGGGTCACCTGAGAGAGTAAACGAAGGGTAATTGTTGCAAGTGAGTGGAGAGAGACAGAGAGAGAGAGAGAGAGGTGAACAGAGACCAGTGAGCAAGAGCTAAAGACTTCCGGACGGGACCATGCGGGGGGCGGCCCCTGAGACTTACTTCAGGTTCAGGTTCCGTTGACTTCAGAAGGTCCTGGGGATTAGGGGGTCTAGACTCGACTTTGGGATCAGGGGCCGCTTTCTTGGTACCCAACTCCCGAGAGTGCCTCCTACAGCTCGTCCCTTTGTTTTTGTTTAGCATTGTCACAGTTGTCACTTTTCTGTTAATTTGTAGCGGAGGAGTTAACTCTCTCTGGAGTACCGCCTGCGTATGCAAGACCTGCCCATACAGAGGGCAGACCCAGGGGAAAAACCCCACAGGCCGACAATCGGAGATGGATTAGTGCCTAGCGTGTGAAGTGTCGGCACGTAGACTTTGCAAGGCAACTACCGGGAACGTCACTTACTCTATTGATGCCTTAGGGGTTGTGGCCGTTATTTCTCAGCCTGTTTGCTTATACCATTGGTGTAGCTTGCCGTCTCTCCGCCCGAATAGTTGCCTTGGTAGTGTGATCGCGTCTTTCCTGCCCCTCCAAAACGGTCGGGGGCGCGACAGCGCGCGGGCTAGGGGGGTTACTCTCTGGCCCACAGCCCCGGCGAAAGAAAGAGAGAGAGAGAGAGCGAGAGAGCGGGTGCGCGCTCGCGGGTGCGCGCGCGCGCGCGGGGGGGTAGGGGTTGCCCCTGCCTCTCCTGTCCCGGTAGAGAGAGAGAGAGAGAGAGAGAGAGAGGCATGGTAGAGGGGGGTCGGGAGCAAGCAGGTGCCGAACCTCAGTAGTAGTCTCACACCGACTAACGACACAGGACGGAGGCGTAGCGCGAGAGCGCAGGGGAAGGGGGACCACCCCCGACCGCAAACGCCCGGCAAGCAAGGAAGAGAGAGAGAGAGAGGGAAGAAGTGAAAACAAGTAGCCATGTTGGCTCAAGCCGTGAGCGGTTCGAGCCCCCAGCCCAGAGTCGGAGAGGCAACCGGGGGAGCAACTTGGAGCAACCCGGGCGATTGAGAGAAAGCCAGGGAGAGAGAGCCCGCCATACTCCTCATAGTGAAGTTCATCGCTCTACGCGTGTACGCCATCGACGCCCGTTCGGGGGAGTTCGGCAAGTGCGCACCTGATCGTGAAGTGTGCGCTGTTGAAGGGGGAGATTGTCACCCTACATCTTTGCCACAATCGGCGACCCTGCGTGGAAGAATAGAAGGACCAGTGTTTGCTGCTCAATGCTGGGCGGGGGAGAAGTTCCGCTACCTGACTGAGAAAATAGCAGGGACGGCGAGATCGGTATCCTCACCTCTTCGCGGGGAAATCGGAAACACTCCCGGCACCGGGAATGTCGGCAGGAAGCGGCCAGTGCAGGGGAACGAGAGGGCGACCAACTTCTCACCCTCTCCACCCTGCTTGCAGCCTTAAAGGAGAATTGCGAGAAAAATTGTTGCCAAAGTTCGTGACGACGTGGACGTACTCACAAACCGTGTGGTGGCCACAGAGCAGACAGTCGCCACACATGTCACACAAACGATGCAGCTATTGGAGGCCATGGCAGAGAGACACTCTGCCATGGAACAAAGTGTGCGAAGTGTGGGGAAAAGCAAGACTCCTTCCTTCAACGTCTGGAACTCGTGGAGGGAAAGTTGGCCAGAGCAGACGTTCAGGTGTCTGGCACCAGAACTTCCGAGAACGACAATGCCCCGCAGAAGCCCGCCATCATCGTCGGGGGATGGGATGCAGATCAACACCATAACGAGACACTCTGCTTGGTCAAGCAACACATGCGAGAACTTGGAGCAGATCTGGACCTCTCTCAGGCATTTGTGCCAGGACTGCGCAGAGGTTTTGCGATCATCCCCCTGATCCGGAACCCGGGGGAAGATGAAGGAGATATGCGCAGCAGAGTACAGAAAACACTTCGAGCAGTGAGAGAAGCCAAAATAGTTACCGGATGGCGTCCAGAAGGGGGAAGTCGCTACTTAGCCGCTACTTCTTCGTCACCATGAGTCAAAGCCCTGAACGTCGCAAGAGAGCACAGCCAGCCGGCAAAGTGAAGCGCTTCATCATCGAGGAAGGGGGAGACCCCCAACAACACATTGAGGTCGAGTTCGGCACTGCAAACCTTTGGTACAACAGCATTAAGCTCTCTTCTGGAGTGACTTCAGCTCCCGATGGTGCAGTTCAAAAGAAAGCAACCTAAGTGCCTTGGCAAGATATAGGGGGATCTGAAGACTCAGTGACGTCTCGCTGGAACGATCTCCGCAAAGTCCTGCAGTGACCCAAGAAAGCCGGGCACGCCATCTTGGAAGTGCCCATGAAGCCGCTTGGCAAACCCTCAGCTGGAACGTCGGGGGACTAAAACTGCTGGCACTCAGGCGAGGAGGAATGTCTTCACTGGTGCCTTGGTCGTCTGTCTCCCACCCACCCCCAGGACAGCCACCACCCCAACAAACCAACTTCCCCAGGGCAGATGCAACGAGGCCCAAAACCAAGAGCCTACCCAGCTGGCACTCCACAGCCCGGCAACCTACCGATCCAACACCTCCAACCACGGCAAGCATTCACCAACCACCCACAACAATCCTTGGTGGCGTCGCAACCGACCAGCACGCCCAACAAAACCCAGCAACAACCCTTCCACACCCCCCCCCCCCCCCCAACAACGAGGGGACACCCGTCCAACCCTTCCCACGCCCGGGAGTACAATATGACTGGGACAACGATCCCTGGAACAACCTCCAAGACGAGGCCAACTACGTTGCGCCCAACCCCAACGCCCCCTCCACCCCCGCATGGTCACCGTACCCCAAATGCTGCAAGCAGAATGCACATACTGGATCAGCAGCGGCGGGCTACCACAGTGCTACTTGGACCGAGCGTGCCCATCACACCCTGGCCCCTCCCAACACAACAACCACAACAGCAAGCCGTCAACGTCTCACAGAGCATCCCTCTTCCACCTCCAACCGATGGCAAAACTAGATTTAGAGGCTGGTCAAGCTTCGCACAACCTCCTCCTGCCCCCACATGCGACACCCCCTCCTTGCCGACAGTTCACCAGCCGACCACTCCCAAACCAGCTCCAGCTCGGCCGACGCGGATACAGAGGCAATACATCACTTTGAAGATCCACCACAGCCACAGAGACACAAGCAGCCCCACAGCAAGAGCAAGACAACTCCACATGGCAAGGACCGAGCCATACACAACGCAAACTCCCCCCCCCANNCCCCCCCCCCCCCCCCCATTTTCCTGCCCACGGCAACAGGGGAAGCAGTCGACTTTCCCCCCTCAACATGGCTGCTGGGAAGTCCACGCGAGACCGTACTCCCCTTCAGCTGCTAGCAGCAGCTCCTCCGGACCCCCACCGTCCGAGTAGGCCAAACTGGCCCCTTGAGAGAGCCCCCCCCCTTCAGACTGGCACCCACGCACCCTCCAGACACAACCCCACACCCGACAAAAAGAAGTTCAGAGTCCAGAGGATGAAAGCCTCAGAGGGGAAGGAGTATCCCGCCCTGCTGACGTCATCGCTGCAAACCGCGGAGTGCTCACCTCCAACCTTGCCCACTAGCGACGGTTCAGCAGAGCACGGGGAATCATCCTCGAAAGTCTGTGAGATAAACAGCAGGGTCATCAATCATACATGTCCATCTTGAGCAAGCTCCCTCCAAGATCAGAAACACGTAATTTATAGCCCGTAGTCGCTTGTACGGCTCGTTGTTTCAAAGTGTGGAGATCAAATTTCCAAGAAGGGTTGCTCGAGTGGGCAAGCGTAAGATGCCCTACGTAGTCCAGGACAGTTCAGTTGAGGGAACATGTGCACATCCTGCAGCTTCTAATATGTCTTGAGCAGGTTCCTGGTTTGGTCCACGTAATGAAGAAGCCCAGGAACGAGACCCTTCTAAAGTAGAAGCTATCTCATCACGAGCATGGATTTTTGTGATGGGTCCACTCTCAGCAGTATCGAGAACCTCCTGGAAGTGAGAGCTTTCGTAGGCCAACCGTTAGGCCTCAGTTCGATTTGTTGGTTCGCGAGGGCTCTCACATCGAATGGGATCTGCGCTCCGAGGAGAAGGCTCGAAAATTTCGCGATGCGTGCCTTCTTGCCAGGTTTTAACTGACATCAGGGCAACAGAGTGCTCAAGTAAGGAGAAGACTGAAGAGTCTCACAGCCACCTGCTAGTCAGCTTCTAAAAGTTCTTTCCAGCTTATTCAGAAGCCAACGCAGACAGCGGCTGTACATGCAGGCGCTGGAGAAGTTGCCTTGGACCAGGGGGAGAGCTTTCAGTTTCATCGTCTCCAGCATCATCTTTCTGAATACGGTTCCTGGGCATGGAATTACAGGTTGCATTGTGCGTGTTCACTGCAGACTTGGCAGTCTTTTTGTGAAAACAAGAAAGGGTGTCAAAGCCAAGGTCTGGCTCGGGCTCGAGACGGAGACGCGAACTTGAAAGCTGTTGTAATGCTGTTGTAATGGCTTAATATCGGTGCGTCTCCTGTTTGTTTTTGCAGCTAGAGTGCAGCTAGAGCTTCTGGCGGCAGGATTATTACGACGAAAGGAACTATGTTGGGCAAGTCGATCCATGGAGGATAGTGCCGGCCTTGCATTTTTCTGCAGGGCAGCGATGCTACTATGTTATGTTATATTCTATTGTAGTATAGTATAGTAGAGTAGAGTAGAGTATAGTATAGAAGAGTATAGTAGAGTATGGTACAGTATAATATATTGTTTTATTTTGTTTTATAATACTTTATAGTATATTAGAGTATATTAGAGTAGAGCATATTAGAGTATATTAGAGTATATTAGAGTATATTAGAGTATATTAGAGTATGTTAGAGTAGATTAGAGTAGATTAGAGTATATTAGAGTATATTAGAGTACATAAGAATATATTAGAGTATATTCTAGTATATTCTAGTATATTATAGTATATTATAGTATATTATAGTATATTGTAGTATGTTGTAGTATGTTATAGTGTATTATAGTGCATTATAGTGTATTATAGTATATTATAGTATATTATAGTTTATTATAGTATATCATCGTATATTATAGTGTATCATAGTATATCATATCATATCATATTGTATCACAGGTAATATCATATAATATAATAGAATATAATACAATATAATATAATATATCATAATATGTTATATGATACGATATTATATTATGCTATATTATATGTTATTGTATTATATTATATTACAGTATATAATATTTTATCTTAGAGTATAGTATAGTATAATAGAGTATAGTATAGTACATTATATTATATTATGTTATATTATATTAGATTATATGATATCTAGCATGTGTCACAGAAGTTTGCAGAAGCATCCTGCAGAGCAGAGTCGGCGACGGGCCCAGGTCAACTACACCTTCGTTGGATTTTTCGTGATTGAGCTCGTCATCCGAATCTACTCCCGGTCATGGTGGCCCTTCATTGCAGACAACTGGAATAAGTTTGAATCTCGGAGGAAGATCCCAAGCATTGCGGGTGCTCCGGATCATGACCGAAGTAGTGCAGGCTGAAACTTCGAGAACCAAGCTTTCAGTCTTGGAGCCAAAAACTGAGAAGACGCGCTTCGGAGAAATAGGCCGTTCAACTGCCGAGAGCTGTAAATTTCTAAGGACTTTGGCCTTGTGTTGCTATCCTTAATGGACACATTCCTGCTGGAGCAGATCTCGGACAGTGCAGGTGCATTCGGCCGAGCGTTTAGCAGGTATTTACCTGCACGCATAGTATTGAAATCGCTGCCATCAGGAGCCAGCTAGCTGACTTGGAGAATCTGCAAGACAACTTCCGAGCACCCAAGATCCCCAGGATTCCTAGGATGGCTAGAGTGTTCGAAGGCGTCATTGCGAGTGGAAGTCGTTCGTTGAGAAGCTAGCGATCCCAAACCTGCCAGGTTCTTTGAGCTCGCTGCGCGTGCTGCGCGTGCTGCGCGTAGCACGTGTTCTCAGACTGCTGCGCTTCTTTAAGCCTCTCTGGCTTCTGGTCATAGGCCGGAGCTTGGCGAATGAAACCCGGTAGCCGTAAGGCCATAAGGAATGCCAGTCAGCTGTGAGGGTCAAGATCGTCAGAAATTGCAACATCAGGCGGCATGGACAGGTGACACAGACATGGACACGGCATTTCAATGCATCCAACCTATTGGCAGCTGGGGTCCGGAATACATAGCGAAATAGAGGCACAAGCACGCCGGTTATTGGCTCGGCTCCCTTGAGGTGCCGTCGATGCGATGCGTGCTTTGCTGTGGGCGTGGGTTGCTCTGCTTTTAAAAGACGATGCGCAATGCAAGAATTGATCTCTGTAGCACTGCTGCTTGGGTACTGTTCTTTGCACAGGCTTCCTTTGGCATCACCTGTCTCCATGTGAGGTGTTGATCTCCATCCTCATCTATATTTTTGCCATCCTGCTGACCCGAACCGTGGGCTTCGCTCATCGGGGAGCCACTGAAGATGTCGACAAATATTTCGGAAACCTCCTGTACAGCAACTTGGCAGAATTTGGCAGACTCGGCACATGCAATCAGCTGCCAGCTTGAACTGCAGAGTAGCTTGGCATTACGAGCACGCTCAGTCCTTCCAGGTTTCTGCGTCATATCGCGAGCTTAGACTGGTTTATCGACCGAGAGACTGCGAAGCTGTCATTCCGAGATACGTTCAAAGCCTGACACCTAACTGTCATTGTTGTAGCTGCTGGTGATTCGGGTCATTATAGTCTCAACATGCGCAAGCATCAACTGATTCGGTTTGGGATAAATGGGGGTTGCGGGGCAGATTCTCGGTACTGTCGAGCTCAGTGGGAGCGAGGTAGGATCCAAGTTCTATTCTATTCTGTCTGGGATTATGTCAGCTTCCAATCATTGTGGGCCGTTGTGTTTGTCCTTGGCCTTTCCAAGCTTGCCCTTGAATTCAGCTTGGCACCCATCGACGAGCGGATGGCTGCGACTTGCGGCCTGTAGCTCCATGAAAACGATTCTCGTGTGGTGCGCTGGGGGTGCCGACGTGGAAGATCACCGCATAGAACGTTGACAAACCTGCGAGAGTTTCTTTTCAATCGCCGCTGCCGCGCCACATCCCTTACTGATTTTTAGTCCTTACTTTTTTCAGAGGCTCGGGGCTGGGTCCGCAACCTTGCTCAAGAGGTGCTCGCATCTTCAGGTAGTGTTAGGAGTTGCCACGAGTCAGCTGAAACTTATATAAGTTACGACACATGACTGCTGCCCGCTTGCTGCGATGCTGTGCTAAGGCTGTTTCACGCTCTTCCAGGCTGGTATTGCTCACAGAGCTTGCCGTAATAGCTTTGGAAGTATCCGAAGCGGGAGGTTTGGCCGTAGTCGTACTGCACAGACACGTGTGTGCTTTGAGATCGACAATGCTTTATGTTTTACGAAACCAATCATGAAGAGTATAGTAGGAGGACATTTGCTCTCACTGGAACATGAACTTGCATTAATACTGGTGCAAGCCCGCTGGACACCTTGCTCATGGGCCCAGTGCGGGAACCTTTTAATGCCGGTATCGGACTGGACGGCAGGGACCCATTGCAAAATCAGAAATCAGCCGCGCCTGAGAAACTTCGCATCAGAAACCGCGCGCATCAGCAACCAGCGTGCATCAGAAGCCGGCGCATCAGCGGGCATCAGAAACTGGAGTTTGGAAACTGGCGCGGGACCATGGGATGGGGGGGCCTGGTAACGTCCATGGTCTGATGCATTCTGAGCACTAAGCATCCAGGGCCCAACGGCGCATCCATGGCCCAACCATGATACCATGGTCTGATCCATTGTGGCTCCATGGAGGGGGGTTGGGGGGGTCGAATAATAACGTCCATGCTCTAGTGCGTTCTGAGCGCACCCAGCACTCAACGGAGCATCCATGGCAACCATGATACCA